AATTAAATTAAAATATATATTTTTTTATAAACAAATAATACATTTTAAATAGACTTATTATTATTATTATTTAAGGATTGTTTCTGTCATATTGGGATTTTGAGAATCTATATCGGATTGTTTAAATGTAGATTATTCTGTCAAATTTTTTTTTTTTACCCAGCCCTCCTTGCATACATCTTGACTCATCTCCCCATCTGTCCTCATATTTTTACTGTATTTCCATCCCATGCTTTTGCTCTGTCCGTCCCTTCAGCCCTGTTAGCCATCTTGTTCTAAATTTCCTCTCAGTCACTCCCTCGGATGGAGAGACCAAACATCCCATCCCTCAATGTCTGGCCGGAAGAGCTTTGCCTAATGAAAAGTCCAGGCAGCTTGTTAAGCTAATTAGCCATTTGGATGGGAGAACGAGTCCAATGTAAATGTGCTGCGTACTGCTAAAGCAGTTATGGCTGCTTCACTACCTGCCTGTGTCAGGAAGACAAATAACCTGATTCAGACCCAGCTCTCTGTCGGCAGATCCTTAAGACTCATTTGCTACTTATTGGGTCTCCTCTCGTCGCTTTCCTGTTATCTTGCACTTTTCATGATAGGAGCTCATTAATTTAGTAGTTCTGTTGCAGGACTGCTGTTTAGCTGACCAACAGCCAGTTTTTGCCCCCAGATTGTACAACTGGGACATCGACCTGTTTACCGCTTGTTTAACCTTGTGGTCCCACCCCGTATGAATTCGCCTATAAACCTGCTCTTAAAATATTAGTGGTAGAAGCTTGCAATTCACTATTACTATTGTTGATACTTATGGTTAGCAATTTAAACAACCTCCAAACCCTATTTAATTATACTGTATCATTTATACTACAGACAAGAATGATACCTCAAATCATGTGGCTTGTTGAAAAGAGGCCTGATCGAATACATAACTTGCATTAAAAGAACTCGTAGAGTGTTAGAAATGAACTGTTCCACTAAGAGGCAATATTTGTAAACTGGAATTGATTTCTCAGGGGCATTTTTTTTGTTTGTTTGTAAGGGCTGTTTTTATAATTACCTTATTAAAGGGTTAGTTCACCCAAAAATGAAAATTCTGTCATTAATTACTCACCCTCGTGTTGTTCGAAACCCGTAAGACCTTTGTTCATCTTCGGAACACAATTTAAGATATTTTTGATGAAATGTGAGGGCTCTCTGACCCTCCCGTAGACAGCAAGGTAACTACCATGTTCAAGGTCCAGAAAAGTACCAAGATGATCGACAAAGTAGTCCGTGTGACATCAGTGGTTCAACTGTAAAGTTACGAAGCTACGAGAATACTTTTTTGCGCAAAGAAAACAAAAATAACTACTTTATTCCACATTTTCGTCTCTACTGCGTCACTTGTGGACGCGCGTTCACGACAGTACCATGACGCTCGCGTCATACTGTGAACGCGCATCCAAAGTAGAGACAAAAATGTGGAATAAAGTCGTTATTTTTGTTTTCGCAGTAGAGACGAAAATGTGGAATATAGTCGTTATTTTTGTTTTCTTTGTTTTCTTTTTCTTTGGTGAACTAACCCTTCAAAAGTATGTGTTGTCTTTTGTCAACCAATACTAAAATGTTATAATCAATCCAAATACTATTATCGATCAAATTTAATTAACAGCAACAAAATCCGTCTTTACACTGCAAAGGTGTAACAGAAGGCGTATCTGACATTATTATTTACACGGCGTTAGATGCTACTCAAAGTTAGCGAACATGTATTCACACAACAGCTGCATATAAATAGTTCAGACTAATCTAAACGCCTCTGGTTGGCCATTGCATTCAGAATCGTGTCTAAATGTAATGCCACAATCAACACTTTTCACACATGTCACTTTTACTGCAACTGCTGTAATAGATATAGTTTAATTGTAATGGGGCATTTTTTGCCACCTTTTCTTGAATTTGTGGGTTATTTTTGTTAATTTTAGAGGTATTTTTGCCCCAAGCCCCTGTTAATTTCTGCCCCTGGGCTCGAATCTAGCAAACAGACTTGAGGTTGGGCTCTTTTGACTTGATCTAGTTAGTAACCACTTAGCAACATCAGAATGCATTAGAAACCAAAAATAGCAACACCCACAAGATACCGGTCACATTTTCTTCCATAATTGTCAATATCTGATTGGTCTTGCTGTTGTTGTTGTCTCATCTCATGTGTAAAGTCTAATTGTCTTGGTGACACACTTCACCTCCATGTTATGAAGTAGCTTGACTGTGTGTGTTCTGGTGGTTAGTGGTTCAGTCGTGCATAGTTAAGCTGTAAGCCCTTATCTCCAGAGCTTGTGACAGCCGCTGAACATAGTTAATCTTTTAGAATCAGTGACCTGCTGCTTTGACAGTCAAACAATGAGTGTGGGTGGAGGGTATTGTTCTTCTGTCGACCAATGAAATTTCCAACGTGATATTATGCAACCAAGACTTATTTTAGCCAGGTGTCTTTGGAAATTTCTAGCATGTTAATGTTTACCACTGTTGTAGTACAACAGAAAAATTCTATTCATGCTGTTTAATTTCTATTGATTTTCTTTTTCTTTTTATATGTATAATCTGTGTTTATTTATTAGTTTATTTAATGTGCCTATATAATTTTTATCCATTTTTACTTCTAGTTTAGTTTGTTTTATCAGCTTATTTTAGTATATCAAGTTAAACTAAATGAAAATTGTATTAAACATTTTATTATTTTAACACCCATTTTATTTCTAGTTACATATTTTTAAAGTTTTTGTTAACTATAATATCCCTGTATGTAATTAATAGCCAAATAGATATTTAATAATTGTTTTGTGGGTAATGCTGTCTTTAAAAAAAAAAAGCCAACATTTGAATGTAGAAATAGTTAAGACCTTTTAAATGTTAGTGTAATAATGTCACATTTTAAAACTAATTGCCATCTTGCACTTGAACATTAGCCTCCACATCCTGATTGCCATCTGAGTTCCCAACATGTAGAAGCTCAAATGTCTTGATTCCTGGTTCTTGTATGGAAAGACCACGTTTGACCATCTAGTCATTTGTTTCACTCAGAAATGTCACATTATGGAAGTAAAATAGTTTATGTATCAAGTTTCGTGTTGACTTTAATTGTTTAATATGTGGGGCGAGGATGTATATTTATAGAGCTGTTTCTGGAAACAAGTGCTCACAGGATGTCCCAAGACGCTAATTCTACCAGGAAGAGACCTTTTGACCACAATAGATCACACCTCTTACTCTGAGCTTGTCTGGACTGATCCAGGAGGACTCTGAACTTCTACTTCATACACTTAAATAAATGCATGACTAATGAATGAGACAGTGTTGGCGTGTCGCCCCCCCCGACTGAAAAAAAAAAAAAAAAAACTGCAAGGCAGCAGGATTCTGGTCATGATTTGGATTGTGCTAGAAGCTGAGGTTATTTAGCTAATTGCAGCTACTGTTGGTCAAAGACATATTTGTAAGCATTTGAGTTTTATTAATTCCAATATGCAAGATTCCATCTGGTCCTCCTGTCTCTGATTGGCTGTTCCCTCTGCAGGCTCTGGCATGAACAGTCTGGATGGTCTGATTGGAGCAGAGGAAAAAGTCATCAACAGCAAGATCAACGAAAATGTGGTGAGCCCACCAGCCTGCCTCCAACACCACACACGCTTCAATGATCTGTTGCGAACACTGTGCCAACTCTCATGACTGAAATTACATTAAAAAAAATGCAGGATTTTCAAACGCGTTCAGTTTAAGTGCTAATAATAAAATCAAGAATTGGCTTCATGATACACCTAGAGGAACATTTACTTAATAAAGACCACATGCTCTGTAAACTTTATTTATATAACTATGGTCTCATAGTTATAACTGTGCCATATGAATTTATTTGACTTTACTGACTTTACTGGGGGGTTAAACATTTTGACCCCCAAATATGATGGTCACCTCTCTTTTAAAATATAAAGACGGCTATCTAATGTATAAAAGCCATTTATACCTAGTAAAAAAGGTTATATTATTAGGATTGTTCACCCATAAATGAAAATTCTGTCATGAATTACTTACCTTCATGTCGTTCCAAACCCGTAAGACATTCATTCATCTTCGGAACACAAATTAAGATATTTTTGATGAAATCTGAGAGCTTTCTCACCCTCTATAGACAGCAACAGAACTACCACATTCAAGGCCCAGAAACGTAGTAAGGACATTGTTAAATTAGTCCACATCAGTGGTTCCAACCATAACTTTAAACTACGAGAATACTACATTTAATACTACTAATAAAACAAAAATGTCAGTCTTCGATGCGCATTCACAAGAGTACCACGACACATGCATGTGGTGCTGCTGACGCAGGAGCTGGTGAATTTTCATTTTTGGGTGAACTATCCCTTTAAGACGATACGTTGTTGACAGAATGAAATTGGATTTTTATATTGTCATTGCACCAAATTAGCCAAAATTATTAAACTACTTTCTGGAAAATATTTTCTCAGTATTAGATTGACCAATGCTAGATTTAATTTTTCAATATGAATAGAAATGTATTTCTAGCTCCATTTTTACAATAATATATTTTGTTCCAAAGCAAGCACAGACAGTACAACCTGCAGTGAGAGGCTAGTGATAGGCTAAAATGGACAGTTTTTTTACTATTAAAAACAATGGCTGTCAAACAAATAAAATAATCACAATTAGTCTTATGATTTCTGACTTGCCTTTAGAAAGTGCTGTCGACTGAGAGGGTAATAAATATCAAACTCTGAAAATGTTAACTTTAATTTGTTAACTTTTAACTCGTAATTTCAGTGTTATATTCATATATACTTCATTGTCATATTATTTGCATGTTGAGTTATGATTGGATTTCTTTCTTGCGTACTTAGTTTATTTAAACATCTATAGCTGAACCAAAGCCTAAAATCGAACCTTATCTAAAACGTTAGCACTTCTTCCGCTGCCTTGCAGTCACTGCTATCTCCTTTCAGATATACAAATCTGCTTTATTTCAGTCTTATCTTATTCATATCCCAGCATTCATTGCATGCCACATTCATTTATTTCCCAGTCACATTCCAGTCTCCTCTAATCGCAGCTCACACAAGAGCCTGTGTGGTTGTGGAGGGCTGAGCTAGACACATGCAATGCATGATCTCTCTGAAGAATGTGGCTCATGTTCGGCTTGTTTTGTTTGTACAATATTTCTGCATGTTTGCCTCTCTGAAATCACATAGAGGAGCTATCAGAGGTTTGTGAGAATCTAAGCTACATTAAAGAGAGAGTCCATCCAAAAATGAACATTCTGTCATCATTTACTCATCCTCATGTGGTTCCAAACCAGTATGACTTTTTCTCCTGGGGAAGATGATGTTTTACGTTCTTCAAAATATCTTCTTTTGTGTTCCACAGAAGACAAAGTTATACAGGTTTGGAATGACACGAGTAAATAATGACTATGCCTTTAAACATGCTCTGATGGCTCCTTCATTGAATGTTTTTCAATACATGTTGAGGTGTTTTGTTTAATAGCAAAATACCAAGATGAAAATGATTATCTTCCCTGCATTAAATGCAACCAGCCATGTTTTCTAACAAGGACATAGTCGCTGTTTCAAAGATCATGGATCATTTTGGATTTGCTCACAGTATTTAATACCTATCTATTGCGGTAAACCAGCACCATAACCACCACAGACAATTGAGTCAGCTTAATTGTCAGAATAGTTGCCGATCAATTTTCAAATATCTTTTTCATTTGGTTCCCTTGATCTTGACTATTCGCTAATGCCCTTTCAGTAAACTACCACACACTGCACATCACGCACACACACTGACTCACTCTTCAGTTCCCAAGGAAGTAATTGAGACTGCCCTGTCTGTGTTGACAGGTGATTGATGAGACTCTGGATGTTAAAGAAGTGATTTTGAATGGTGTTGATCCTCTGGTAAGTACAGCGCTCTTCTGTGCCCAATACATGGTACTGTCAAACGCTGCAGTCTCGGATTTTGAGCTGGATGGAGATTGCAGTAGTCTGCTTCTGTTCTATCTGTGAGCAAATGACAGTTTTATATCATCTATGACCTTATATTGTTTATCCACAAGCTTCCACAGCACGTGTGCATGTTTTTAATGCGATCGCATGAGCATGTCCGGTGGATACGGGTCATCGTTCGTCATCATTATACTTTCACACAAATGGAATTGAGCACTAAACATTTGTGTGTGAAAATTGCCAGTCACGGCTGTCAGTGCACATTCAGTCCATTTAGCACTTTGCGAAGCAGATCAATACCACCAAACACATTCATTCATGTTAAAGCTCAATTTAATTCTTAAAGGAGTAGTCCACCCCAAAAATGGAAATTGTCATCATATGAGGCCAATTCTTACTAAGAAGGATAACTCTAATGATACCTATTTCAATGGACGATACGCGTGCGCTGCATTTATGCCATCTGACACTTTAAAGGGATAGTTCACTCAAAAATACAAATTTGCTTTTCATTTACTCACTCTCAGGCCGTCCAAAATATACAATATACAAACTGATATTCCCTACTGACACACTACAGCAAAAGATATAAATAACTGACTTAAAACCATTTTGTAGCTGGTGAAAATACTAGTGTTCTAATAATTTTGCCCACCACTGTAAGTGACTGTTTTTCTTCAGTGGAACAGTAAAGATTTACAGCTAAAACCATGTGTCTTGGTGATTGGTAAAATGCAAGTCAGCAGCTACAGGCTCTTGAGTCAAAAAAGCATATCAGGCAAGAACTGGACTTCCTTGTTTGCTTGAGTCTATGGTTTACAGGTAATAATGTTCAGTTTCTTGCACAGATCGATCGTTTAGACCTCAATATATCGTCAGGAGCCATGGGTATTCATTTTGTGTTGCCTGATACTGCTTTTTGACTCTCAAAGTGACTGTAGCCACTAGGCGCGTTTCCATTACCCTTCAAATTGCGCAAATTGAAATTGCGAATTGAAAATAAGCCTAATGGAAAC